CCCATTGATTTTTCTCTCTCTCTCTCTCCCCCCCCCCCTCCTCCCTCACTTTCACTCTCTCTAAAAATCAATGGAAAAAAATGTCTCCAGGCAAGGATGAAATAAATAAATAAGACGGACACTGCTGGGTGTGGGCACTGACAGTGGCTGTTCTTCTTCCTGGCCAGTGGTGACATTGGTTGAGCATCTGGGGAGCGCTCACTTCCTCTGCTTTCTAGGGTGGGAACAGGGCAGAGGCTAAGAGGTGGTAGCATGCTGCAGTAGGGACATCCGTCAGTTGTTACCCCCTCCAGCTTCTCCATGGCTACGTCCACAGCATCGCCAGCTGCTCTGGGCTCATCCAGCCAGGAGGCTGCCTGGATCTGGTCCCAGCTCAGTGACTAATTTGCCGTATGACCTTGGCCAGTGCTCCTCTCGGAGCCTTAGTTTTCTCACCTGTAAAGTGAGGGGTTGGCCCGAAGTGTTGGTTTTCAGAGTGAGCTCTACAAACCCTCCTGGGATTTGATAGGGGGCTTCAGAGGCCCGACACCTTTGTTATTTGTTCTATATATTGGGCTTCGGAGGAAGACGCGGAACAACGGCTTCTGCTGGTTATAAATAAGCAAACAAGTAAACATTAAAACCTCCCAAGTAGATACTAAGGAGCCGTGGTTCTGACCAGCTAAGTAAGATTTGGAGGAGCAGGCCTGGATCCCCACCGGGAGCCCAGGACAGACTGGCCCGGTAACCTGGGCTGTTCTGCTCTGAGGGGCTCCATCGGTATTGGGGTGGGGGTCCCCAAAGGGGCCAGCCATGCGCAGGCTGGAACAGATCACATCTCAGGATGACCGTGAGGAGGTGGGGTCACCAGAGTGGCCACAGTGGCCCAGGGCAGTTGAACACTAATCCATGATTGTTGCTGCATCTGTGGTACAAGAGGCCATATGTCTGGGTTTTCTACTTACTGTCTATTGCCATGGGCAAGGTGCTTAATTTCTCTGAGCCTCCGTATCTTCTCTGTGCAAGGGGGTGACAGTAGGGCCTCTCCTTGGAGTTGTAATGATTTAATAGATGCAAAAAGCACTTGGCACGGTACCAGGCCCACAGTAAGTGCTGGTTGTGCCTTAAGCAGTGTGACGTTGGCTTTTTCCTTCAATTTCCGCACCTGTTGAGTGGAGGTCATGATAACAGCAGCCAATCCAGGTCCTTGTGAGGATCAAGTACTAGTCATTAATGGGTCGAAATGGTTGTTATGTTTATTTACTTGCATTTTCCTTTAAATCGATGCACATTTTCATCCTTTCTTGAAGGCGGCCACCACATGAGCGGTGGGGTGGACAAGGGGTCGGTGCTGGCACGGCCACCGGGTTGCCCAGCTGAGCGACCGCAGGAGCTGTAAACGGCAGACACTTGGAAATCCTTGAGTCTGGGCCAGAGCCACGGCGGGCGCCTGACCCGCCAGCTCGAGCTGGGAAGGGAAGCCGGTCCCTGGGGGCCTACGCTGTCAACAGACACACGGCCTGGCATGGACGCCGGCCAAAGAAGCCCGCCCCACCTGGGGCTGGTGGCCTTGGCTTTCTCTGCTTCCCTCCCCTCCCAGGGCCCATTGTCTGAGTGTCCCAGCTCCGTCCTGACCAGCTCCCTGACTGTACCACCCCCCTGGCCGCTTACCCTTTCCATTTCTGCCTCCTCACCTTTTAAAAATAGCACTGCCTACATCGGAAGACTGTCATGAGGGTTAAAGGAGGTAATACATGTAAAGCATTTAGAATCATGCTTGCCCCTTTATGACCTTGGGCAAGCCACTCTTTGAGCCTCAGTTTGCTTATCTGTAATGTGGGCACAAAATAGCACTTAGTGCACAGGGAACATGAAAGGCTTGAATATGACAATGTATGTAAAACACTTGGCTTAGCCCAGAAACTGGTGCTCTCTCTCCCCTCCCGTATTGATTAATTCTTGCTGTGTAACAAATCACCCTGAAACTTAGTGGCTTGAAACAACAACTACTTATAATTGCTCACGTATCTGTCAGGCAGGGGACGCAGTGGGAATATTCTACGCTTGACTGGGCCGCTGTGCTTTAAGCCACAGATCCAGCGGGGTGAGGCTCCTCGCTGAGGTTAGGACTCAGATCTGCTCCATGTGTGCCCCGCCTCGGGGACCACGTGAGAGCTGCCCCAGGGGACACGCTTCTCATGCCATGCAGAGATGCAAGAGCATGCACATGCAAGGACTCTTAAGGCTTAGGCTGGGGCAATGCCGTCCTTTCTGCCTCATTCTGTTGGTAAAAAAAAATTACATGGTCAGCCCCAAAGTCAAGGAGCAGAGAAATAGACTCTGGTCCTTTAGTGGCAGGAGCTGCAAAGTCACATGACAGGGGGTGTGAAGAATCGGGGACATTAATGGGATCTGCCCAGCCCCCCAAGAACCTCCAGAATGGGAACGACGACATGAGAACTTCCAGTAAGGCGGAGTGATTCAGAAATCCTTTGTCTTTTCAACTGAACCATGGACACTAGGCCTGAAATACTCGCTGGGTTGCTGCTCCAGATTGCCCGGGATGTGGTGTGGGTTTGCCTCCCAGGAATGCTGGGCACATATGGAGGATGGGTGCAGTAAGGCTGGACTGCAGAGCCCTGGAATGGCCCCCACCCCCCAATGGAACTTGTCCTTGCAACAAAATAAATAAAACTGTCGACTGGAAAAATGAGAGGAAAGCCGACCAAATATGATAAACTGTCTCTTACTGGGTATTGTGCTCCTTACAGTGAAACCCCAAGCGGATGCTAAAAATGTGTGCAGCTTTGTGAGGAGACGAGCGTGCTCCGTGTGGCCGAGATTTTCTGAGAAAGGTAATTTAACTGCAGTGCACAGAGAGGAGAGAAATACAAAGAGTGGTAATTGGGAAATTGTCCATCAGGTGCTGTTTTAAAAATTGATATTGTTGGTTATTTCTCTTGCATTAAAACCCCGCGTCTGCTGTCGCATTCTTATCTAGCTCATTCGAGGCGTGCGTTGACATTTCTAATTTGCAAATTTAAAGATTGTCAGGAAATGGCTTAAACACAGCGCAGTCCCGGAGCTCCTTGACTGTTAGTGACAGGGCTCATCTCTGGGAAGGGGAGGGAGGGGAGCTGGGCTGGATGGAGGGAGATTTAGGAAGAGCTAACATTTACTGAGCACTCCGTGTCAGACACGCATTTTATATGATCTTACATTAAACCTGTGATTCCCATTTTGCAGATGAGGACAGTGAGGCCCGGAAGGTTAAATAACGTGCCCAAGGTCACGCAGCTCCTAAGTGGCAAAGCTGGCACTGGAACCAGGCACTCTGGCGTCGGAGCCTTGGGCCCACCCACTGCTTCCCGACCTCAGGGAAAGACCACAAGCCTCAGAGTCAGACGGTTTGGGGTTCACATCGAAGCTCTGCTAGTTACTATGGGGCTCTGTGGCTTTTCACTCACTCATCCGTTGAGTGTTGATTGAGGATGGACTATGTGCTGGGTGCTGTGCTGGGCACCGGAGGCACAATGGTGAACAAAACCCAGGCTCCTGCCTCTTCCACTATGTAGCCCCCCAAAAGAACAGGGGTGGTGGAAGGAACTTAATGCTCTAAGGACATATGGCCAGGACTGAGACCTGAGGGCTCTGGCAGGCTTCCACCGGAGGCACAATGGTGAACAAAACCCAGGCTCCTGTCTCTTTCACTTTGTAGCCCCCCAAAAGAACAGGGGTGCTGGAAGGAACTTAATGCTCTAAGGACATATGGGCAGGCTTTCCCAAGCAAGGGACTTCAGAAAGGCTCTCTCACGGAGTGGAAGGCAGCTAGGCACTGGCTGTCCATCTTGAAACTCTCGAACTTGGAACCCAGCTGCCATGCTGTGAGAAAACCCAGGTCACCTGGAAAGGCCACACCACACGTAGTTGTTGAGACCAGTAGCCCAGCCAGAACTGGCTACATAATATGCAGTCTCCATTGCAGCATGAAAGTACAGGGCTTCTTGTTTAAAAAAAAAATGACTAAGAAGCTAAAGATTAATGATAGAGCACTAAGCCGAACACAGGGCCCTTCCGAGAGCGGGGCCCTGATCACCTGCAGTTACACACGCTTGAAGCTGGCCCCGGCTCTCACTGAGTCCCAGCACCCACTGCCCGCAATATGAGTGGGGTGTCTCCAGGCCCAGCCATCATTGGATTGCAATTAGGTGAGAGACCCTGGTTCAGAGCCACCTGGCTGAGCCCAGTGTGCCTCCAGATCTGCAAGGGGAAAGATAAATAAATAAATGTTTTTTTTAAGTCAGCTAGGCTAAAGAAGGGGGCAGGGTGGGTTCTGGGCAGAGGAAAAAAGTCAAAAGTGCTGGACCAGATGTTTGGCTGGCGTGTCCGAGCAGCTGGAAGTGCACGTGCGAGTCAGCATGAGGACAGGACTGAGGGGGGGAGTGCGGGGGGAGAGTGGCCAGAGAGGGAGAGGAAGACCTGGGATCCTGGTCTGGGTCCTGAGAGCAGAGCATGCCATTGGAGGGTCTGGGAAAGGGAAGAACGCACCCGGATTTGAATTTTTAAAGGTCACTCTGGTGCTCTATGGGGGACAGATACGGGCACCCACGGAGAGAATGCAGGTGGCCAGCGAGGAGGCTGCTGACGGTGAGGGGTCACGCTTCCTGGACCAGGCGGTTGGCACTGGACACGGAGCTTAACTGGACAGATTTTGATGATGAATTTCGTAGGACATGGTGAAGGGTTTGCTGCTGGTGGGGGAGGGGAAAGAGGATGGAAGGACAACACAGCCTCTGGGCGAATGGAGGTGTGGTTTCTTGAAACTGGAATGAAGAACGGGGTTTGAGGAAGAATGCCATGGGCTTCATTCGAGACTGGTTGAATTAAAGGTGTTTCTGATAATGAGAGATGTCAGTCAAACCTTTGGATGTAGCGCGCTGGAGAGGAATTTGGGATCCATCAAGGTGCAGGTGGAAAATGAAGCCTTGAGGACTGATGAAATGACTGGAGCTGTGCTCCCCAGTACAACAGCCACTCGCCACTCAGGTTAATGAAATTTAAATTAACCAAAATGAAATATAGTTAACATTTCAGTTCCTGGGCCGTTTGGGCCACATGTCGAGTGGTCAGCAGTGACGTGTGGCTAGCGGCTCCCTGTAGAACAGTGTAGATGGAGAGCGTTCCATCATGGCAGACAGTTCTCTTGGACGGGGCGGCTGTGGCGAGAACGCAAGGGAGCTTGGGGCCGATTCCTGGTAGAGGAGGAGGAGCTGGCATTGACGGAGAAGATCTAGGCCTCCTCGGGTCAGACATTCGCCTGCCTAGCTCTAGTGTTTCTTCTGCGTAGACATTAATACCTACCTCTGGAGGATTGCGTGGATTTAATGCCCTAATATATGCCATAATTTATTGAGCTCTTAATGGATGCCAGACACGCTGCTAACACTGCACACTCAGTATGGCGCTTGGCAGCCAACGAGCTCTGTGGCTACACGTTGGAATCACCCGGGGAGCGTTGACAACTACTGTCTGGGCTTCGCTCCTGGGTCCCTCTTTAGGGACAGGACCGGAATAAGAATTTGTAAAGTTCTCCAGTGATTCTGGTGTGCGGTCAGATCGAAAGCCACTAGGTGAGACACACCGGCTTAAACAAAAATAAAACACCAATGCAGAACTTCTCAGGGCCTTTACTGCACAATGCACATCACCAAAAGAACAGGTTATTGTCTTTCCCTGGTGACAGGGACATACAAGAAGAAAGACTGTATGGCTAGCAAAGAAAACCTGTGGTAAATGTGGAGAGAGTGTGTGTTGGTAAGAGCAGATGAGGGCGGGCAATGTGATATTCAGAGGCCGGTAGAATTTTTAAACTCAAATGAGCATGACTGGTGTTTGTTATATTGATTTGAGTAATGGTGATGATTTGATAACTGGTTAGAAGTTCTAATACCTGTTAGGCCATACAGATGGCATTTTTGTAAGCAATAAAAACAGTGTTACAAGTTTATTGTATTGGTGGGGGGTCCATCTCGGCTGCGTGGGTCAACTGGCGGAGGAAGTTAGCTCCATTCTGCAGGGAGTGATGCTTTGAAAGCATCAATCAACCGCTTAAAGCTCTTCAAAGGCTCGCCATCCCACTGGCCACTCTTTCACAAAGCCCTACATGAGCGATGTCCAAATGTTTGTATTATGTACCCCCACCAAAAAATTTTGAACATGCACTCTCATTATATGAGTATTCATTTAGAAATTAAATACCTGTCCTATCAGCAGAGCTATAGGGAATTTAATGAATTTTATTTTCTTTAGATATTTTTAGGTTCAAAAATCAATGTAACTAGAAGTACCAGTATTTGTTCCTGCACCTCACTTGGTCATCATTGCATCCCAGTTTAGCTCCCCTACATGACCTGGTCCTTGCCTTTCTCCTGTATCATCTGTTACCATCTTACTCGCCTCCCCCCCCTACACACACACACACACACACACACACACACTACATTCAAGCCACTGGCTTCTATCTGAATTTCCATGTGTGGCTTAGCCTCTGGGCCTTTGCACCTGCTGTTCCCCCTTCTTTGAATGTTGCTTCTCTTGATTTTTGCGTGGCTGGCTTCTTCTTGTCACTCAGGCCTTATTGTCAATGTCAGCTCCTCTAAGGAGCTTTCCAAGGCCACTCCATCTAAAACTGCAATCCAGCCACTTTCTCTGACACGGCCCATTTTAGTCCTCTGAGTAGCACTTACCACACCTGATATTTACTTGTTTGTTTATGGCTGCCTCCTTCAGCTGCGAGGAACCATGCCAGCTGCAGTGCCTGGGCTCACTGACTATTTGTTGGATGAACACACAAATTGAGACTCGGAGGTTAGAACATCTACCTGGGCCGTGCCATCTGTAAATAGTGGAGCTACGATTTGAACTCCCCCCTGCGTGACCCCAAGTTCAAGATCCTTTGCATCATGCCAAGCTGCCTCTCGTCCGTCCTTCAGAGGCCAGCCAAGAGGTGCTTGAGTTCAGACCTTAACAATTGGAATCTGAAATCTGCTTTGATGTCAGAAGACTATGGAATTTGAAAGAAAAATATATGACTGGCATTTTATGGGGTTTCACAGCCAGCTAGTCATGGGAGTCTGAAGTGATTCAGGCAGGCCCAGGGGCAGATGGGAGAGGTCTGTGGTCAGGAACCACAGTAGGTGAACGCAGTCGGGAGAAATGCTTGGCCCGTGTGTCCTGATGAAGCCCAAGATCAGAAGAAAGGCGCTAGGTACCTAGGGAGAAAGTCCTGCCCTCTTCCCTCCCATTCCTTCTGACACCTAGCTGAAGAGGCCTTGAACACCCACTTTCTTTCTTCTATTGAGCACCTGTTCGTAGGCTTTGGAACTCCACCTGGCTGGCCCTTTCTCTATCCTGCAGTTACTGTAACATCCCTTAGGCCTGGGGAAGGACATAGCAGGGAATGGAGGCAGCAGGAAAGAAGATGAAAGCCTGAGGCTCTGACCTTTTGAAGAATAAATGGTTGGTTTTGATGCCTAGTTTGGTATGTTCCAGAAACCTGTCACCTCCCTGCGTTGCTTCATTTTCTCTTTCCAGAAGGAACCCACTCACATGTGAACTGATGAGCCTTTGGTCACCAGGCTCGGGCAGGTGTTTCTGTCTTATTTTCACCCCCTGGCCTCTTTCTGCAAGGCCTGCTGTCCCCTTCTCTTCTTTCTAATGAGCACAGGAACCCTGATGGTGAGTGAACAGGCAAAATTAAGTGTCAAATTTGATGCCCGAAGGCAAAGAAATTGGCAATTTATTTTTCCTGCCTGGATCTCCCTCTTCCCCATCCTGTCACTGAAACAATATTGATATTCTGCTGTAATGAGTTCTCCTCAGTCTCTCACTCATTCATTCATCCCAGCATGGGTCCTTCATAGTTAAAAGCACAGCCTCTGCCACCCACTGGCCTGTGACCTGCATTAGTGACCTACGGTTGCTACAACAAACGACTACAAGCTTGGGGCCTTAAAACCATCCGCACGATTCTCCCACGATTCCAGACGTTAGACATCCAACATCAAGGTGTCCTCGGCAGAGCTGCTCTCTGCTGTGGGCTCTAGGGAACAACCCTTCCTTGCTCTTCTAGCTTCCGGTGGGTGCCAGCGATCCTTGGCTTGTCGCCACGTAACTCCAATCTCTGCCTCTGTTTTCACATGGCCTCCTCCTCTTCTAGCTTATCCTCTGTATCTTCTAAGGACACCTGTCGTTGGATGTTGTGCCCAACTAGATAATTCAGGAAGATCTCATCTCAAGATCCTTAACTTAATTACATCTGCAAAGACTCTTTTTTCCAAATAAGGTCACATTCACAGGTCCCACCGTTCCACCCACTCTATGACCTGAGACAAGTTGTTTAACCTCTCTGAGCCTCAGTGTCTTTAGCTTTAAAATGGAGATGCCACCTGGCTGTCATGGCTCAGTGGTTGGACATCGACCTAGGAACCAGGAGGTCACAGTTCGATTCCTAATCGGGGCACATGCCCGGGTTGCAGGCTTGATCCCCACTGTGGGGTGTGTAGGAGGCAGCCAATCAGTGATGCTCTCTCATCACTAATGTTTCTATTCCTCTTGCTCTCTCCCTTCCTCTCTGAAATCAATAAAAATATATTTTAAAAAAATAAAATGGAGATGCCTCTCCCAGGTGGCTCATAGGGATAAGATGTGGAAAGCTTTCTCAGTGCCATGCAGAGCTCATGCGCCACCAATGGCACCTACATTTACTTATCGAGTGTTCATCGTGGACTGAGATGTTGCTCCAGGCTCCCACTGTTGCCCCCTGACAAGCTGAGTCCCAGGCCCCTTCTGGTCCAATCTGCAGAACCTGGGTTAAATTCCTATGTGCCTCCAAGGCCTGCCGGCTATGTGAGTGCCCAGCAACTCTTCAAAACCCAGTTTTCCTATACACTGAGTGGCCAGATTATTATGACCACCCCATCAGTACAATGAAGTGAATTAGTTATGCAAATAATAATAAAACCTTGAGAGTATTTGATTAGGAAGTTTTCAATATTCAGTATTTTTGGAAGCGTCAATGAAGTACAGATGGGGTTGTCATAATAATCTGTCCAGTCATAATAATCTGGTCACTCAGTGTATATATGTGGAATGACCCACAGCCTCACCAGTAGGGACAGTTCTAGAAAATTCCTCAGCTCACCCTCAGACTACCTTTTGGGGGATTGTCGGGACAGAGGAAACCAGTGCCTGGCTGTTGGAAGTCATTCCAGCCCCGCATCCAGTCCCCACCTCAGCCGCCAGGGTCTTTTCTCAACGTTGGACACTTCTCACCCACCACCTGATAGGCATTCCACAGATGGCAGGGCTGTGGACAGTCTGAGAGCAGCGAGCACATATTGTAACCTAGAAATTGGACAGCCAGGCAGCGAGTTGGCCTGTTGGAGAGCTGGTGGGAGTGTTCATCCTGCTCGCAGTTCCCTAGGACCTTGGCCCAGTCTCTGACCTTCTCTGTGGCTCAGATATTTAGCTAGGTGTCAGTGGGGTTGATTTGGAGCAGTAGTTCTCAAACTTTTTTTTTAAGCACTACACCTGCTTTAAAATCTTTCCCAGAATCCAAATGTCCATTCAAGGCTCCCCCTCCTCAGTCCTTTGGCCTATGAGAGTCCAGTGGCTTCCTTAGGATTTTTTTCAAGTGTCCACGATTGCTTCCCCATTTGCACGTACCTCCCCCGATATCAGAATGCAGAACTCACCCCCTCTCCTTTCTCTCAGGAATTCCCCTCACTCCGAGGATTTTTATGGACTCAATTGAAGGGCTAGGGGACCATGAGAAGGGGTCATATCCTGGCCCTAGCTGGACTGACACCCTCCAAGTGCCTCACCCCACCTTTTTCTTCTCTCTATACCCTGTCCCAACACCCCAGCATCACCCGCTCACCATCCCCACTCTCAAATCCTACCATTTTCATCATCACATCTCTTTCTCTGGCCCTGACCCTCCTGCCTTCCTCTTATATTGACTCATGATTACATTGAACTCACCCAGATAACCCAGGGTAATCTCCCCGTCTCAAGATCCTTAATGTAATCACGTCTGCAGAGCGCCCTTTCCCCTGTGAGGTAACTTACTCACCGGTTCCAGGACATGGACATCCTCAGGGGGCGATTCATTCTACTTATCCCACCCACCTGTAGTATTCGTTGAACGAGTCCTTCATAGGCATTTCAAATGCCCCCTCCTGTAGCGCATCCCCTGTGCTTCCCAGACGGAAGGACTCTCGTCTTTTTTAATCTGTGGCACCGGGCCCCGTTCTGTTACAGCAGGTGCCGCCTGCAGTTCTGGTGCTTGGTGTCTGGTCCTGCTCCCTTGGCAATGCGTGAGCCCCTTTGAGGCAGAGTGCTGAGACTGGGTCACCTTTGGGACTCGGGGTCTTTCAGAGTCGACTATCTGAGGGATTTGTTGCAGTCGTCTCTCCTTCAAGAGTCATCTCAAGAGCCATCTTCTCAACTGTGCTCTTCTGTTCTCTTTAAAATGAGACTTGATCCTCTCATGAACCCAGCACTCACTGCAGCCTGGTGCCGGGCAGGGGTCCAGTGGACACTGAAGAGCTGACCACCTCTTTTAGCCTCCGATCCATGCAGTGGAGCCGCACCTCACCCAGGCGTGAAGGTAGACAGTGGGTTTGCAGAATCCCAGCCAGGGCTTGAGGGGCACCCCTTCTGAGGGACAGCTGAGCCGTGGGAACCGGGTTCCTGTCTCCCATCTCTCACTCACTGTCGGGCGTCTGCACACTGACCAGAACCGGGGGTAAATCTGCCCCCCTGTCTAACCGGTTGTTGCTGTTTCTGGGTGGCAGGCGTTGGATTTGCAGAAGGAGAATGCCTCCAGGAAGAAGTACCCACAACCTCACTCGGTGCTCCACTTCCCCCGATTCAGCTGCTTCCCTCCCCTCTGTTCCCAGGTAGCAGATGGCCTGATAATTTAATGCCATTACAGGGAGCAGGTCACTGGGATTTAATTAAAAAACAAAAGCACTTTGAGAACGCCTGCTCTCACAGACAAATTTGAGGGCAGGGTGAGCAGGGTCACCAGATTGCACAGCCCTTGAGCCCACATTCACGGCAGAGCCCAGGTATACGGCCCCCCGAGGAGTGGAGTGTAGCACGTAGCACGGCCTGCACGGCTGTGGGCAGCAGCCTGCCAGGGAGGGAGAGGTGTGTTTCTGTGACCTTGCCCTTTCCCACTTCACTCCTCCAGGCGCCGGCCTGCTTGGTCTCCTTGTAAGCCAGTGGGACACTGAGAATAAAATCCAGATTCCCTTTTTGCGGTCTAAGAGGCCCTCCGTGGCCTAGCCCCTGCCTGCCTCCCCAGACCCTCCTGGTACCTGTCCCTGTGCTCACTACGCTTCTGTGCCTCCGATATGCAGGGCTGACTCCTGGCACAGGGCCTTTGCATTTGCTCTCTCCTCTGCCTGGTTGTTCTTCCCCTAATATTCCCAGACTCCCTCACTTAGGTCTCATCTAAAACGCTACTAGTACCTCCTCTAAGAGAACTGCCTGGAGCACTCTATTTTTGTTGCTCCCTATAACATTCATCTTGGAATGTCATAACAAAATACGCAGATGGCTTAAGCAACAGAAGTTTATTTTCTCACAGTTCAAGAGGCTACAAGTCCAAGATCAAGTTTTCCATTTATTTGGTTTCAGGTGAGAGCTATCTTCCTGACATGCAGATAGCTCAAACAGACAGACCGACAGGAAGTTCTCTCTCTCTCTCTCTCTCTCTCTCTCTCTCTCTCTCTCATATCTGTTCTTATAAGGACACTAATCCTATTGGGTCAGGGCCCCGTCCTTATTTATGATCACTTAACTGTAATTACCTCCTTAAACGCCCTATCTCCAAATACAGGTACATTGGGGTTAGGGCTTCAACATGGGCATTTTGAGGGTAGACACACATTCAGTTCATAACACTCCCCATCGACACCCCACCACTCTCCATCCTGTTACCCTCAGCTACTTAAACCCTCTCTGTGCCTTGGCTTCTCACCCGTGAAATAACGGAAGCTGACAACACAGGATGGTTATGAGAGTTGAATGAGTTACTGCACAAAGACTATTTAGGCCAAAGTCTGTCACAGAGGAGGTGCTCAATAAATGTTATTTCCCACCAAGACTTGCTACCCCTGACTCGAGGCCTCAGAGAATGCTTTTCCCTACACATGCTACAAGAACAAGAGTATTAACAAAGGGACAAGAGTTAGGTGAAGACTTGGGCAAGGGTGTTCCTGGCAGAGGGAACAGCATGCACAAAGGCGGTTGGCCGTGGGGAGCCCGTGAAGGGTTTTCAGAGGGGAGTTGTGTTCAGATTCAAACGTTGCAAAGATCACCCTGAAGCATTTTCTCGCATGAGGGTCAGACCCAAGACAAGGGTCCCCATCACTTCGCTGACCGGCTCTTGCAGGGACCCCACTTGGCCAATCCCATGGTGGGTTTTCAGGTGATGTCCTTCCTTCTCGACCATTCTGTTACGCTTGATAGATGACCACACCATCCCTCCTAAGCCTTCCGTGTCCGTGGCATCCCTGACAGGCTACTAGGTCTCCTGGGAGGCAGTGCACTGTGCTGGAGAGAACCCCGACCTTGGTCCCCGGTTGGAATCGTGGCTCCATCACATCTCCATTGTGGGAGCCAGGCAAGTTCTCTCGCCTTCAGAAGCATCTCTTTATCCTTGTGATTAAAAGACCTGCCTGGGGATTGATGTGAAGTAGGTAGAAGTCACTCCCCTCCCCAACCCCTTTCTTCTGTCTCCTGCCTTCCATTTCTCCTCCTGCCCTTAAACGCAGGTATTCTCCGAGGGGGCTGCCGGAACCAGTGCTGTTCAGATGACATGAGCCTTGGTTCCCAGTTGGTCTTGTCTTCCACCGACTTTCTAAGCTGTCGTAAAAGGGAAATCAGGTCTCAGAGCCCTTTCCTGGGGGACGTCCACTAAGGTTATTGTCCGAGGTTTACTCTGAGCCTTTTCTTTTTCTATGCACATTTCTCAATATGCTGAGTCTGTGGAGGAAACTTCTGCCTCCAAGAGAAGGTGCAAGAATAGGCAAGAAGCACAGTCTACTGAGACGCTTTTTAATTAGCCTCATACATGGATCGATCTTCTCTCCCTATTTAAACTTCACGTCTTCGTAGTTTTAGAGAGATGTGCCAATTTCTCTAAACTCCATGCCGTAAACGAAAAAGGAGAGATTTGTTGCCAAGGGAGGAGGAGGGAAGGGGTTTCCCTTAAACACCCAAAGCACAAGGCCCTCTCTGCTGGGACCTCCCAGGGCAGAGGAGTCAGCAAATGCTGACCGGATAATAAATCGGTGCCAAAAGACAGTAACCTTCGTGCTTCTTAATAAAGAAAAGGAGATTCCGCTAAGACTTGCTCAGAATGTAAGGCAGAGAAAATGCCCATAGAAGTTCTTCTGCTAAGAAGAAAGGTAAAGAGTGCTGGGCTGACTCGGGAGTTCAGCACGGAAGTCATCCAGGTCGTCTAAGCCAGCTCTTGGCAGTGGCATCTTTGTTTCTTTTATGGAGCCCCAATATATAAACTGCCCCCAGGAGCAGTCAGTGTGCCCCCCGCCGCCCCCACTCAGCCTGAAGGCGAACCGTACTTTGAAAACCATAGAGCTTGGCCAATGGGAAAATGGATGACCAAAGGGGCTGCTAATTGCCCAAGGTCAGTTGTCACATGTTCACACCGGATCAGGCTCTCAGTCAGTATTCACAGCATCTGTGATGTGCCAGGCACTGTTCTAGGCCCCGGGCTGTAGCAGAGAGACAATCCCTGTCTTTATGGAACCTGCACCCCAGTGGGGCGACAGGCAGTACACAAATGAAAAACATATGTAATGTCAGGTAGCAGAAAGTGCTACAGAATAAAGTATTTTTGATTTTTGTTTGTTGATTTGAGAGAGACATCGATTTGTTGTTCCACTTATCTATGCATTCATTGATTGATTCTTGTATGTGCCCTGACCAGGGATCAAACTTGCAACCTTGGCGTATCGGAGGATGCTCTAACTGAGCTACCTGGCCAGGGCAAGGGGGGCTGTTTCAGGTGGGGTGGTCAATGAAGGCCTCAGAGAGGTGAAGTTGGAGCAATGAGAGGGAGGCAGGAAAATATCGACAGAAGAGAGAATAGGCGTGAAGGTCCTATGTTGAGAATGCCCAGGGCTGAGAAAGTGAGGAGGAGGAGGATGGGACATGGGTCAGAGAGGAGGCTGGCCAGATCTGCATGGCCTCCTAGGCCATGACAAAGCCCGGCAGGTGGTGGGAGGCGGTGGGATTTTTATCCAGAGTGGGATGGGAGCCATTGAATGGTTTTGAGCAGAAAAGAGATGTAGTCTGAGTTAGGTTTTGAAAGGACCCTTCTGCCTTCTTGCTAAGTGAAAACAGGCTGATGAGGGATGAGAAGGGAAACAGTCAATTCAAGTGGGAAACGTTCACAGTAGTTTGAGTGAGAGATATTAGTGCTTTGGACCTTGATGGCAGTAGTATAGGTGTTGAGACGTGGTAAGGTTTGGGATAGATTTTTAAAGACAGATCCAGCAAGATTTGCTAACAGGCTGAATGAAGAGATAACGTCCTACGCCTCCTTTGAGCAAAGCACTGTAACAGGTTATAGGAATCAGGACCCTTTGGGCAGAAGCCCAACTCAAACTGGATCACAAAACTGAATAGTTCAGCCAAAATGGACTTCAGGTACGGCTCGTTCTAGGAGCACAAATGCTATCCTCAGGTTTAAGTCATTCTCTCTTTTCATATCTTAGTTGTTTGGCTTCATTTCTCCCTGGGTGGCTCCCAGCAGCCCCAGGCTTACTTGAACCTTACAGACAGCAGCTGCCATGGGAAAAGGCTATTTCTTACTTAATGGTTTCAGTAAAATTGACGCTTCAGCTGCCTTAAATCATCTGCACATCCCTGACTCAATCACTCTGTCCAAGGAAATAGAATACACTTATTGGCAATTCTTATCACGTGTCCAGCCTGAAATCAGGGGGTGACGGCAGGGGACAGGCATGCTCCCCACCTCCCACATAACTGCGAGGAGTTTTTACCAGGGGGAGGGGGACAATGGAAGTTGTGTAGGCAAAAAGAACCAATTTACACTATCCAGGCATAATAAGAAAAACATACTTTAATAAATGAGGATTTTGCCTTCTCATTTTTCTAGTGTCACGAAATATGCTTTCCCTGAGACACAAAAAGTAATTGTCGCAACGAGCACTACAATGTGCTGGATCCTGGATCTCAAAGTGCGTCCCCACACATTTCCCAGATGCAGAACATGCTATCTCCATGCCAGGAAAGGGAACTTGAACCTGGAAAGCTGACAGTCACCTGCTCTCCAGCCACCGGATGAGCCCGGTGAAAGCAGAAAGCAGTACAATATTTCCTGCATTCAGAAGGGATAGAACACTGTCTGGGGCTATTGTGTAGGGAGAATGAGGCTCCTAACAGCCAACAGGGCGTGGGGTGGGGGTGGGGGCAGGGCCGGAGGGGAGCTGGCTCAGAGAGCCATGGCGGGACCATTGCACAGGGGTTCAGATCTGTAGCCACTGATGCCTAATGATCCCCCCCAAACATGAGGTTTTCTGTTCTAAAGGGTGGCTGGATCCCATTGAGTTCTTTAGATGCAAGTTCAGTGACAACCTGGGAGCCACGCCTGGCCCTCAGCAGCCTGGGCTGTTTGGCTGTGAGACTGCAAGCTGGATTCATTTTAAACAACATTCTAAGAAGATGCTGTTTTTGCTTCATTAAGATAATGGTTCCTCCATCGCCTCTCTTGCTTTGAACGGCACCTAATCACATCCCTGAGTTATTTTGGGGGGAGGGGGGCGGGGTAGTTTTGCACTCCCCTGGATTTTGTTTGCCTCAGGGCCTGGTTGATTCTTGCCAGTGAGGAA